TGCTAATGAGATTTTTTGCTCTATCAAAATTAGATGGATAACTTATATTGCATGATATTCATAGGATCTAAACTAATAATAAAAAATAGTAGACACAAAATAGTTTACATAAAATAATTTAATAAAATTAGTGTTGCATTAATAAATGGAAGATACAAAGGGTCTAACAATATCTTCTTATGAAATAAGGTAAAGGAGATTGAAATTTCATGTATAATAGTGTAACATACATGAATCATAAAAAAATAAAATAATACAATGAAAAATAAATCAATTTGCACCGCCCAACGGGCGGGTAAAAAACTAGTATATATAAAGGCAAAACATGAGTTGAAATTGTCCCATTTCAAATTTCGTGGCCTGAGAGTGATTCTAGGAAGGTCATTTTAGTCACTGCACACAAATCATCATCTTTATATATTAAAATTGTTATCATTAGAGTTCGAACCATGGTCACTTAATAAATGAAGAGCCTGAGAGTGATTCTAGGAAGGTCATTTTAGTCACTGCACACAAATCATCATCTTTATATATTAAAATTGTTATCATTAGAGTTCGAACCATGGTCACTTAATAAATGAAGAGATAGCATTATAACCAACTAGGCTACATTGTATTATTGCTATTTCTCTGATTATGTTTGTTAATGATGCTTCTATATTTATGTTTTTTTTTTGTGAAATTCTATATTTATGTTTTACCTTAATTTATTTATATTTTATAGAGAGAGGTTAGTTCTAAATCGGAACTCAAGTAACATTGATTCAAACATTAATATAAAATTGTAAGCGCAGTTTAGTTTAGACAAAATAGAAAAGTATATTTTACTCTCTATAATAATTAATTTAATCTTAATATTTGTGATGTTTGAAATATTTTATATACGATTAAGAGGTATACTTATTATTTGTGACATCAATGGTAGTTGGTTCAAATATAGTATTACATCATGTAGTCAAAATCTAATCTTGGGTGCATTTATGATTGTTTATTTATTTATTTTGGTGTTGTGAATAGGTAGAAACTTAATTATTAGAATGAATATATATGATATAACTATACCTAGGCACATGGTTGAGCTAGCACGACACAGTTACCGCATACCATGAATACAATATATATGGATCGGCCCTGTACAAGCATGAATGTTTCATGGGCCCGACCAGACTTAAACTTCAAGTGCTCGCGCACAATTGCGAGCACCACACAGTTTATACTAGTGAACTTATGTTTTATAGACAAATGCACCATATGATAAAAATAAAACAAAATACTCTAAAGATAATATATAAATTTTGAATTAATGAGTAGATTTTCACATCAACGTGTGACAACTCATATTCTATAAGGTTTATTAAATACATTCATTGTTTATTTTGACACTCTAATTTTTACAATGTATACAATTATACACTCATTTATAAAATAATTGTTGATTAACTTCATAGCTGAAAAGTCTTTTGTACCGCTTGCAGTAATAACAAACAACTTTAACAATAACTTTAGAAGCAAGTAAAGTGAAGAACAAATTGAGATTTAGTATCACTTTGCAAATGTGTGTGTTTGAGGCATTGAGGGGAACAAAGATTTTTTTGGTCTAATTTTTTTGAAGAAGGGGTTGAAACTCATATATCATTTGTTCAAATATTGCATATTGAATTGCAGTATTGAACATTTAGAAGCGATATATAATTTTTAAATTAGTATTAATTTAAGTCCGGTTGACCAATAGCCTTAAACCTCTTGCTAATCTGACATTATTGGACCCAATAATCATAAGATGAGATTTAGTTTGATGTGTCGGTTCAAAATCATTTTTTATGTCTAATGAATTTGTACGATAAATACATGTAAATAAGTAATGATTAACCTGATTATTCATTTTGATTCTTTAGATAACTCTATATTTTTAAGGATAAACTAATTATATACTCACTCGATTGGTTTAACGAGTTTCGTTTTTATCACTTTATGTAATTAGTTTATTCAAATGCTATCAAACTGCTTTGCTCCGACAAAGAATAAGCATTCATCTGCTCGCCAAATTTCAGGGGCTCTGATTCACTCTATCTACTGTGCACGGAGAGGAAGCATTTCGAACGCGAAATTGGAGAAGTAATTGGGATGTTTATAGGTTTCTCTCGATTACAGACGATGGGAAGAAAGAGCAATGGAATGGGGAGAGTGGTGTGATACAAAGCTTAGAGAGAGATGAAAGAATAAACAAAAAAAAAAGAGAATAGAGAGAGTGAGATGAAACATTTAAAAGAGGGGGGAAATGAGGTAGTGTGAAATAATTGTTTTTCTGCTTTGCTTAGTAAGTATTGTTGGTCTTATTTCGTTGAGTTTTGCTTTATTTTAGGAGATGACATTATATTTGATAGATTTTTTCCTTTTCAATTTAGAATCCTCAATCAATATTATCGTTTAGATGATTTTCTCTTATTACGATTATCCTAAATCAATATTATCCTTCACATTGCTCAACTAACTATTAGTGACAACTTAGCATCATGCCCTATATACTTCAAATCAAGCAACTCCAGCTTAATTATCAACGATGTGGTAGAAAGGAATACGCTCTATTGGGAAAAACTTAAAGGACAAATTGAACTCTATGAGAGACATTTTTTTCAACCTAAAAGTTGATCATGTAATGAACGACAATTAGTTATATTTATTTCGTTTTTCATTCAATAATCATATGTGATGTTTATATAATATTTTTTCTCTTTTCATGGAGGTCTAAACACATTATGCATAGTTGGATCACTTTAAAAAATGTTAGGTTCATAACTAAGGTACAAAACACTCAGGGGTCGTTTGGAAGTTGTGATTGTTAAAGTTGTGTTTGTTGAATACATGTATTGTGCACAATACAATGTTTGGAAGTGCCAAAGTGTAAAACAATGCATGCATTGTTTTCGGTAGGTCCCACCAACAATCACAAAAAATGATGCATTGTACAATCTCAACTAAAAGTTGAGATTGTTGTGATTGTTGCTTTTAGATTTGTGTAAACTTTTTCTTTCCATTTATATCCCTAAAAGTTTTTGTCTTATACTAAAAGTTGAGGGTAAATATGGCATTTCCCCATAAAAGTAACTTTATGTAAATTAATGCATAAAGTAGAATCTCAACAACCAAACAATGTATTGTTAAAATGCATCCATTGTATCAATACATGCATTTGTATTATAGTGATTCATCACAATGCAACGATTTAACATTCGCAACTTCCAAACGACCCCTCAGTTCATGCATTTCAAATTATCTATTATATCCATTACATATACCATATTTCCTGACAAAATTCTTCCGACCAACGGGTCGAGCAAGTGCTAGTATATTAATATTAATATATATATAAAAGGAAGTGAATGGCGCGCGCTGGCGAAATCTTTTGGGGGAAGTTTTCATTTTTTGACAACGAAATCTTTTGGAACCAAAACTTTTGTGAGTGGGGGAATCTAAATTTCAGGAGAGAAAGTTGTGTACAACAATTTAATTTTTTATTTGTGGTTCAAAACTGGTTTTTTAATTATCTCATATTTAATTAGTGAACTTTTTGGTATAGTTTTTTTAGAAAGCAAATAGGGTTACAAAATTCTGGTATGCAAAATCCTGCAAAATCTTGACGTATAATTATGTATTACTCTAAGGCCTAAGTAGTGAACTATTGCAAATTAAATATCAAATCTAGTCAAAGTGCGGTGTCTTTTGTCTGAAGTAGTGAAAATGATGAACATCCTTACGTGAATATGTGTTAATATTAATGATATCTATATTTATTGCTTGTAGGGGTTTTATGCATCCACTATCAACCATAATATGTCAATTAGTTCTGAGTTGCAATTGTATTTGGTTGATTCTTTGATACTATGAGTCATGTATTCTTGTTATGATCAAACTTCTGTGAACTATTATTAGTCTTGTTTATGATAGGACCATGATATTTGGATTTTTAAATCTTCTTATAATGTATGTTATTATGCTAAGTTAATATTTTATAATATTATGTGCACTATTAGGTTGATGATGTATCTAAATCAATATTTGATGATGTTATATGCGTTATTAGCTTGATGTTGTATCTTATTATACTGAGTTAATATTTGATGATGTAATGATCAGACTTTAGTGAACTAGGATTCAAATGTCAACTTTTTGTTTATCTTCATCGAATTCCTTCTATTATAGCAGGGTTGCGGGTTGGTCGGGTTACGGGTTGAAGGTTGGTCGGGTTGCGGGTTAATCGGGTTACGGGTTGGTCAGGTTGGTTAGGTTTCGGGTTGGTCGAGTTGCGGGTTGGTCGGACTGCGGTCGATCGGATTGCAGATCGGTCTGGTACCGAGTCATTGGCTTTAAGTCAAATCGAATTGCGGGCGGGTTGCGTATCGGGTTGATCGAGCAGGTTACTCGGGTTGGGGTATATTTTGACACCTCCATGTATGTCGTATGATGCAGGTTGCTGATGACGTATGCTTGTCCAACTGGTGCGTTCTGCTATTGTACTTGTGGAAGGAGCATAATGTCCACTTGTTCAACGGCATTAAGCTTCCTGAAGATGGGATAGCGAGCAGAGCGTCAGCGAATGCCAACTACCAGCTGAAGGTGGAACATGAAAATCTAGCCGCACCTTGATGGCGGCGGATGCTGGAATACCTGCTTCGAGGGGTGAAGTAGGTATTGGAGTTGTTCTTCGAGGTTTTGAAGGCCTAGTCATTGCAGCTACGAAGACAACGCGAGTCGCAAAAGCAATGAGGTTGGAGCTCGGTGTTCAAATTGCTAAACAATTCCAGATCACTAGTCCTATACTAGAGTCGGACAGACCAACTCAGTTATTGAAACTGAAGCTGGAGTAAAATGCACAGTATCCGGCAAATCTGGACCAATGGGAGCTGCAGACACGTCCCAAGAACAGCAAATGAAGCTTCCCATGTCATGGCACATACAAGAACTCGATTGAACGAACAAACGGTTTGGTTAGATAGTGAAATTTGCGTTGTAACCGTTTCTTCTGATTAATAATATTGCCACCGATTTTGATAAAAAAAAACCAACCCTCGAGAACAATCTATACTTGGCATTTACAACACATCGATAACACAGGATTCAACAAACTGACGTAAAGCAGCAGCTGGAACCTACGGTTCTGAAGATATAAGTATAACACTCTCCTCCGTTAACAATATAAACACGTAGCCCAGTAAGAGCGGCTTTTTAACATCCTATGATTCCGTTGCCAACGTTAGAAACACGGAACACACATTAACAGACCGACACTACACACTAGTAGTCCCAAAACAAAGATTTCCTGCACGGACATGCGAGATACAAACGATGAAAGCAAACATCATCCATCCGAGACAAACTGACCAAGTACGGAGAACACCTGTTCTTCCTCTGCTACACATCCATGGAAGCAGCCAAGATCAGTATTTCGCTTCACTCATCAGTCATTCATTCTCTCATGCCTTCTCCCCAAGAAACTAGACGTCTCAAAATTCCCCACCAGGTTTAGTTTGTGGGCCAATCCTTCAAATGCAGCTGGTACCCCAGCCCTAGATAAGTCAGCTAAAAGCTTTCTGTAGTCAAGCTGAGGCATTTTCATGCCTTTCTCCGTCATTTCTTCCAAGTACCTACAAGCCTCGACTGATCTTCCTTGACTTATGATCCCTCTTATGAGGACAGCATACGAGTTATCATCAGGACAACATCCCTGGCTAATCATCTCGTCCCATACAGTGTGGCCCATGTCATAGTTTCTAATCTGAAAATAGGATTTCATGATCATGTTGTATGTATGAATAGTGGGTTCCATCCCATTCTGAATCATCTTTTTGTACACCTTCACAGCATCGTCAGGGAGCCTCCTTTGGGTCATGAGCTTAATAAGGGCATTATAGGTCTGACCATCCGGCGAGCAGCAGCCCTTTTCTTTCATCTCATTCAACAATTCAAAAACTATGTCCATCTTATTCTGGTTTCCAAACCCGGATATCAAACATGTGTAGATTGCAGCATCTGGCTGGCATCCTGAATCGACCATTTCATCCAAGTAATCAACTGCCTCTTCCATCCTTGCTTGCTTGCACAAATGGCGGATCAGAATTGTGTAGCTCCGGACATCGGGAGATGGTCCTTTGGCCTTCATCATCTCAAACAACTTGATAGCATCAGACCTCTTGCTACTCTTCAATAAACCTTCAAGCATCACATTATGAGCAACAACATCAGGTTTAAACCCTTTCTCGATCATTTCATTCCACACTACCCCAGCCTCCACTAAATTCTTCACCTTACACCAACCATTAAGCAAAACAGTGTAAGTCCGCAGATTGGGCGTGAACCTGTGTTCCAACCTCCCAAAAAGAACTTTGGCCTCTTTAGCAAGCTTCGCCCTACCGAGGCTATCTAGCAGACAGTTCAAAGTCTCCACTCCAACTTTGAATTTGTACTTCTTCATCAACTCAAACATCCCAACCGCCTTTTTCCTCTCCTTGGCAGCCGCAAAGGCTCGCATAGCAATCAGAAACGTCTCCATAGTCAAAAGACCCTTTCCCCCCATATCTTCGAGCAAAGACACCATAGTCTCGAACTGGCGGGTCTTTGCCAGTATACTCATCATAGCATTGCAAGTCCTCGAGTCATGGGCAAAGCCTGGTTTCTGCCCTGCCCAGCAGAAGAATCGCAACGCTGGTTTCCTGGCATGACGGAACCTCTCCAACACATCCACAACCAAATCATGTGACAAGTTAATCCACCCACATCCATCAAGAACCGCCTCCATGTTGCGATCTAACACAAACAATTCGTCGATCACCTTGCATACCTTATCCACCTCCGCCGGATCTGCGCTCGACCTAACGCCGTAACCATTATTTCCCTCTAAATCCCCCTCAGCTTCATGAAATTGGAGATCTAAATCAGAACCCCCAACGGAGAAGCTACAGAAGTGACAAGCAATCGATTCTGGAACTAGCAGCGGTTCTTGAATATGTGAGAGACGAGGGGAGTATGGCAGAATAGGCGGTATTTGACGATGAGAATTACGGAGACGACGATTAGGATAAGAGTGATGAGAACGAGACATGGACAGAGAGCTACCATGAGGCAGCTGCATTTGCTCTCCCCGCCGCAGTCTCCGTCGCCGCCCTCTGTCTTCTCTTTGTCCGAGATCCAGAGGGAGTAGCTTGGAACTGGAGGTGGAGCGGAGTTGGCCATGGCTATTTGACAGAGTTTCCGATGACCGACACAACTGGTGGAGCAACCTGCGGCGGCTTACTATTGGGAGAGCCATTTGGCAGCCATGAAATGATGAAAGACACAGCAAGGAAAAAAGGGAAAACGAGGAAAGGAAGCTCTCGGATTCACGGGATATGAAACCGAGTGGCGAGTGGTTACAACTTACAACGATAACTATTATGAAATAATGTAGTGTTATATGGATTCTACATAGATACTATTTGGTATTCAATATGAATGATTTACATAAACATAATCTTTTATTAAAGTTTTATGTAAACACATTCTTCTAATATTTTTTTTATCATAATCTGACAGAAGCTTTTATTTAGAAGCGGTTACATTATCCAACTTTAGCGGATCAATAGTAAAAACAGGCGGGTGTTCTAGCCAAATTACTCGTTCATTCCATCTTGTCTCCGAATGAGCCATTAGGTGTGCTGGTGAATTGCTCGTCTAGGCGCAGTGCTGTCCGTTACTCATAACCTGCAAGTATTAGTGGATACTCCGACATAGGGTGCCAATCTCGGAATGCACAGATCTCACATCATCTATTTTCTCATAGGAGTTAGACAATCATACTCAAGCACCGGGTTCGTAATGCCTATTGATGACCAAACTCTGCCGCCTGCCGCCAAAGACACTGCCATCACGGCATCCTAGTCCCCCGTAATCTTTTTTGTTGCCGCGAAAATACAATTACCTTTCTCGTCGTGAACAGCTCCAAGACGAGCACCTCCGCTGCCCTCTTCTACTGTTGCTGCTGGTACTCAAACAGGAAGGATTTTGCTCGGCCAACAATCACATCCTTCGGGAGCTTCTTCCCATTGAATAGATGTGAGTTCCGCTCCTTCCAAAACAACCAGAGTAGACATGCCAAAGCCTCTAAGGAGATATCGTCAACTGAACCCATAACCTTCACTACCTAGTTATGGGAGAGATTTGATGCACTCCAAATTCGACTTGTCCACTCGCATTCCGCAAAGAAACGAATTTGCGTCTCTCGAATTCTACAAAATGTACAATTGTCACCCGACTTTCTCCTTTTAGTACTAATATGAGCACCCGCCGGGAGGACATCCCGCATGAATCGCCAGATAAAGTGCTTCACTTTTAGCGGTATTTGCAAGCCCCAAAGCTTCTTCCAGGTATCAGTGTCTCCGAAAGAAGTAAATCTACCCTACTCCATGTAGTCTTGGACTCGTTGGTAATATCCTCCTTTAATAGGATACTCACCTACCTTATCATTTGCCAAAATAAAACGGTCAGGTTCTCCACACTCACGTAGAGGAATCTGTTGAATTATGGCATCGTTCGATGCGGGGAAGCAACTATGTAGAAGGTTTTCGTCCTACTTTTCTTCCTCTGGCATATTAGCTCACAGACCACTAAGTCAACCAAGAAGCCCATCAGGTTGAATCAATAAAACCACCTTTTTCCTTTAGCAACCATATGTCTCCCCATATCCTATCACTCGGCCCAACTCTGATATTCCAACGCAATCCATTGTTCAAGAATTCCTAAGCACTCAGTAGGCTATGAAAGATGAAGCTCGAATTGTGCCCAAGGCGTGCATCAAGAATATCAGCATTCTTGTGATATTTTTCTCTGTAGATGCAAGCTATGAGGTAGTCACGCCTTTGATGTAGGCGCAGAGTTTCTTAGCAAGCAACGCGGTATTGAACCCTTCCAAACCCCTAATCGGAAACCCGAATCTTCCTTCACAGTCACCAAACATTCTATGTTGACCCAATATACCCGTCTCTCCGATCCTCTCTGTCCCAAGTAGAAATTAAGAATCATGCTATGGACTTCATCAAGGATCCCGTTCGGTACTTGGAAGACTGACATGGCATAGGTAAATTGTGCCTGTGCGACAGCTTTAGTAAGCGTCTCCGATCCTAACCCGCTCTTTTAATCCTTGAAAGATATCTTTTTTTGGATCTCCCCACCACTGTGGGTAGGGCTAGATACTTCTCATGCTTCTCCACCTCCTTCATTTCAAGTGTGCCACTCACAGTAAATCGTTGGTGTGGTTAACATTACCACTAAAGGAATCCTCCGAACTTCTGAAAGCTCATTAACTGTCCTGACTCCTATTCATAAGCTTTCAGAATGGCTTTCAGCTCCAAACTTTCATGTGCATTGGATAGCTTGCTGGTTGGATACCATGAAACTGATCCTCCATAGCTTCCACTTTTGTGAAGGCCGCCAAGCCTTCAACACACAACAAAAACAAGTACGGCGATAATGGGTCCCCTTGGCGTATTCATCGATTGGGATAGAAGCTTGATGATTGATGGCCATTCACCATAACTCAGTAAGAGACTGTTCTAACACACATCATCACCAGACTCCACCATTTCTCAGCAAAACCCATTCTACTCATAACACCCTCCAAGAAGTGCCACTCCACTCGGTCATACGCCTTTAACATGCCTATCTTCGCACCAAAAACTCCCTGATCGCCCTTCTTCTTCTTCTTCTTATTCATTGAATGAAAGCATTAAAATGCAACCATTATATTATCAGTTATATAGTGACCTGGTACAAAGGAATTCTACTCCAGTGATATAACGTGATCCAGAACACTCTTCAATCTGTTGGCCAAAACCTTTGCCACCAGCTTTTATAAGGCATTACATAGGCTAATGGGTCTAAATTCCACCGGCAAGATAAGTACTTCACCTTAGGAATAACAACGATGAGCGTATGGATAAGTTGGTTCGGCATGATTCATGTTTCGAGGATGTCAAGCACGATCGAGACAACATCATCTCCCATTATATGCCAATACCGTTGATAGAGTAGGTGCAAACACCCAAATTTTTGTTATTTACTCTTCATGTCTAGGTTTGTTTTGTGTTAATACATGTGCATAATCATTAGAATAGCGTCAGTTGCATCCCTATATCGTTCCTATTTTATCATGATGTGATTTTAGGGTGCGTTAGACAATGCATGCGAATTAGGTATGAAAAGGGGCACAAGTGTAGCAAATTAGCCAGGATGCCAATGATCACAGCCTGTAGATGGAGATCACGACCAAGAACACAGGCAACGAACTCAAGGTGAAGAAACAAAGAGTTTCCCCAGTCTATTCACTGCCACAGTTCACCCTGACTGATTCGGGCCTAATTGCACACATTTTATCCACGTTTACCTCGGGCGTTTGTGGCATTTGTGCTCCTAATAGGTTGGTTTTATGCTAGGTTTTGTATGTTTCAGTGTGTTTCAGGATCCAATAGGTGAAACCAGCCCCGCAGTCGAATGTTGGAAGAAAAGGAGCAATGATCTGACAAAGGGACTGATTCGGGCCATGTTCACGGTTTCCCTATGGAGTTCACGGTCTCCTAAGGCCATGAACTGAAGCCATAAACCATGAAGCGCGAAGCGTCCAGGGCAATTTTTGAGGTTACTGACGCCGAGTGAGTTCACGGTCACCAAGACTGTGAACTTTGAGTGCAAACCGTGAACTCAAGTGAGTGAAGTGGTGCGTTTCGACACAGCACTCCGAGTTCATGGCCGTGAACTGAACCCGATCCCAGTATATAACGTGAGCTGAAATGAAGAAAGAGGGGAGCCCAAGTGTGAGAAAGCACCTTCTTCTTCAGATTTTAGAGAGAGAAAGGACGAACCAAAGAAGAAAGGAGGCTAGGGTTTGCTCCAAGTGGTGAATTGGGAGAAATCTCCTCAAGAGAAGATCAACACAAGATCAAAGGAGAGTGGAGGCATCACCATGATGATTTCTATTTCTCTCTTTTGTGTTCTTCCCCTTTCTAGTATGGAGTAGTTTCCTTTTCACTTGGGGTGTTGTGAAAACCTAACTATTTGCCATGTAGTTGTTGTGTGAATTGAATGATTGTTTATGGGTGTTGTTTAATTTAATAATTGAGGTATTTTTCACGATGATTGTGCATGTTTGTTCTTAGCAATCTAATTGGCCATTCTAACCTAGGTTAGAGGGGAAACCCCCCCCCCCCCCCCCCCCCCTTTCCAAAAGAGGCTCAATTGAGTTGGGATTCTTTGGGCTTTTCAAGCTCTACATAGGAGGTTCGTGTGCAATCCTTGCTAGTGATGAGAAAAATGAAGTGTAGTGTTGGAGTGAGTTCCTCAAAAAGAGAGCATTGGTCGTTAAAAGTATAGGTGGCAAGTGTTTTTACTCTCTAGTACCCCCTCAAAAAGAAAAGAAAAAACGAAAAGAAAAGAGAAACGAAAAAAGAGGTAATAAAATGGGGTAAATAAAGTAGAGAGTGCCACGAAAAACCAAGCCATTGAAACCCCCACATTGTTTTAGAACTCCTTCACTACCAAACCTTAATGTGCTAGCAAGGGTAGCCCGAGGAAGAGCGCTTCAATGTAGTTCATGATGGGTGATAGTTTGGAAAGGAGAGATAAGGATTTTGGTCGATGCTAGTGGCCTTGGGTTGAAAAGAGGGGTTTTAGTCGAAACCATAGAACCTCCGGGTTTAGGTTGAAGATGTAGAACCTCACGTCATGATTGACACCACCCAAAAAGCCTTTCTCCCATGTCCAAGACAATTGCCAGTCATCTAAACCCGTGTCTATGACCTCCAAACGAGCTAGTGGTGACAACCATCCCGTGAACTCTAGCATCTAGAGGTTACCGCCGTGGTATTGAGATGATAGGGCCGAGAGTTTATGGTTGTGCACATCTTTTGCACCAAAAAGGTCCCGACCCCACTGGCCTTGAGAGTGAGTGATTCATTCTTGTTTTGCATGTCATATCATACCTTGGTGAGGACCTTCGTTGCCTTTCCATTTGTTCCTCGGATTTGAATTCCATGCATGGTCGGTTGTGGTTGATAAGTGGTCTTGTTGCGACTTGCATTGATCCATAAACAAGGTGGTAATTTTTTGTTTGCCCGTTTTTGGTGGCTTCGAATGTCATTTGTGATGGATGTCAGTATTGCTTGCAACGGTCCATGAATTGATTGCCAATGGCCATTGAGAATTCCCACTTTGTGCCCTTTGAGTTGTCCCCGAAGTATTTGTGTAGGTTGAAATATTACCTTGTGTGAAATGGTTTGCTTGGGGACAAGCAAACGTCTAAGTGTGGGGGAATGATTCGGGCCTAATTGTACATGTTTGCCCCCATTTTACTTAGGTGTTTGTGCCAAATTCACTACTAAATTTTACACTAGGTTCCTCGTGTTTTAGTGTTTTTTAAGATTTAACAGGTGAAACCAGCCTCGGAGTCGAGAAA